CCGTCTCTCCCCCTGCCCCTCCCTGGCCCTGCTCGGCCACATGGCCTTTCTGGGCATCAACAACCTTGACCAGGCCCCCGGCCCGGCCCGGGGCAACCTCTGTCCCCTGTGGCCTCCTCCCTCCCTCCTGATCCCTGCTCACAGCTCGCCCCTCAGGGAGGCCGCCTGGTCACGCCCACCTGCGCTCCCCACCTCCACCACCTCTTCTCCAGGTCGCCTCCAGCACCAGTCACCGCTCAGCCTGCCCACTGACGCTGCCCAAGAAGAGAAGCGCTGCAAGGAGGCACTTAGCCGACCAGCCAGCACAGCTGCCCCCTCGCGGCTTAGAATCATGCCCGGTGCCCAGCAGGTGCTCAGAAAGGAGTTCTTATGCTGCCCTGGCCGGTGTGGCTCAGTGGATGGAGCATCAGCCTGCACACGGAAGGGTCTCAGGTTCGATTCCCGTCAAGGGCATGCACCTGGGTTGCAGGTTCCATCCCGCCCGTCGGGGCAAGTGTGGGAGGCAAACAATCGACATGTCTCTCTGCACGCTGATGTCTCTCCCCTCCCCCCGCCCCCCCACTTTCTCTAAAAATCAATCGAAAAAACATCCTCGTGAGGATTAACAGCAACAAAAAGCTCTTAACACAACACAGGCCCAGAGACACACCAGGGCCGATTGCGCAATCTCTGAACTGGGTGACGGGAAAAGGGCTCCTGGTACCGTCCCCCGACTCTGCCGTGAGAGGTCCCCTCACAACTTAAAGACAAGCCAAAGGCAGGGCCACAGCTCCCACAGCCAGGAGCGCGAACAGAACGTGACGGCAGCGGGGAAAGAACAAGCGCGAGGATCAGAGGGGGCTGGTGAGTGATCCCTAGACAGCGGCCTCCTCCCTCCGGGCGTGTACCACGCTTCAGCAGCGTGATGCATCTGTTTCGGATTCAGTCCTGGGGTTCATCAGGATACACAGCGGCCCCGCCCCGGCTCCCAGGGCCCCCCTCGCTCCCAGGGCCCACCTCCACCCTTCTCCCCCATTCTTTCCTGCGGAATCTTTGGGTTTCTCTCAGTAAAGACCAGGGCGACAGCAATTGTGCGGTTTGGCGTGGTCTCCCACTGCCCACTGGCAGGTGGATGGCAGCGCCCCCCTCCCCCTGCTGGGCCCCAGAGCCCCGCCCTGCCACCCGCACACCTGCTCCAAGAGCACGTGGTCATGGCCGTTAGCGCCCCCGGAGGGTCTCCGGTGGAAGGGCTGTCCCTGGGGCGCACACCCCGTCTTTCCTGCTCCCGCACAGCAGCGTGCTTCCGGGGAACCAGTAAGTCTTGGTCTCCTTTGCTTTGTTTACATGTAGTTATCACCACCCGGCCCCTGCCAGCTGTGAACTCTCCCCTCCAGATGTCCAGCCCAAGCGCCTGTCAACGTCACCTTCCCCACAGCTCCTCCCGCGCCCGCCCGACCCCTCTGGGGACACCTTCCAACACCGGCCGCTGTGCCCCTCGGCTCACCTGGGACCCCCCTCTCCGGAGGAAAACGCTGTCCCCTCCAGCTTTGTTTTTAATGTCTTCATTGATTTTTAGAAAGAGGGAAACAGATGAGAGAAACACCATCAGCTGCCACCCGCGCAGCCCCCACCAGGACCCAGCCGCAGCCCAGGCTCGTGCCCTGACCCGGAGTGGTGACCTCGGGGCTCACAGGTCAGCACAGCCACTGAGACCTTCACTTCTGCCGCTTCTTCGTGTCCGAGAGCTTCCCTCCGGCTCTGCCGTCTTCTCAGCGCTTCCTCTTCCCCGTGTGGGCTGGAGCTCACGGGCAGTTTAATGAGACGCAGTTAAACGTAAGGGAGAGTCACTCCACATTCGAAGATCATGGTGATACGCACGAGGGTGATATGACAACGCACAGGGGAAGCGCCGGCGACCTTACTAACTCCGCCCCAGAACTGACTTCTCTCCTGGCGTGAGGCCCTGAGCTGGTGATCAGCGACGTCCCCACACGGCCAGACCCCCCACGGGGCCCTCCCGGCCCTGAGGCGCGAGGGGGAGGGGGCCCAGGCCGGAGGCTGGGGCTCTGAACCCGGGGGGCCGGGGTCAGTAATGAGGAGCCTCATCAGCGAGCGCCAAGCTGGGCCTCCTGACCCAACGACCTCACCCAGCACCCTCCCTGCTCTGCACAGCAGCCCCCCCACGGGTGCCCCCTCCCGGGTCATCTCCGCAGCGACAAGCGCCCGCCCTTGGCCAATGGCAGGAAGTATTGCGTTCGTGTCCGTTATGTCGGGCCCCTGCGAGCGCATCATGGAGCCCGGCCCGGCCGTGTGGCTCCGCGGCCCGGCCACTGTGCAGAGCTGCCCGCGGGCCGGGGAGCGTGTGGGCCGCCTGCCCACCCACCCGCGGCCGGCTCACGGTCGCATCCGACGCAGACTGCCCGGTTTTTGCAGACGCTCGGGTTTATTACCTTATTTCTGAGAGAATTCCCTTCTGGCCCAGCTCCCCGACTTTTGAGCAGGAGCCCAGTGACATGCGCTGCATTAGGAGCCCAAGAACGTTTCGGGTTCTATTTACAGCTGCGGCTGGCGGAAGCCAGGGGCAAGCGCCTGTGCCCAGCCCACGGACAGCGTGCGAGGCCAACATGCCTGCGGTCGGGGCACGGCCGGTGCTAGCCGCACCCACGAGGCCCCTGAGGTCCCAGAAAATGGAGTGAACGAGCCGGCCTCCTGCCTGGGGACCCCCGACCCGGCTCAGGAGCGGCTTAGTTTGCGGCCTCGCCCTGGCCGCCGGCCCAGCCCTGCAGCGCCGCTGTGAGCCAGGTGTCCGTGGGCCCACCCGCGCCAGTGGCCCTGCCACGCCCCCGACGGAGGCCACGTGAGAACAATAAAGGGTCACGTGATGAGAGTGGAAGGTGCCAGTGTCCCAGGAGACCACGTGGCCTCAGAAGTGGAGCGATGTCCCCACGAGCGGCCCACGTGCAGCGGGCTGTCTGCTGGCTCCGCTGCCCTGACCCCCACTTCCCCCACAGAAGGGATGTCAGAGCACGCCCCTTCCACACCCCAACTGGGTCCCCGTTCTCGGAAGACGAGGACCGTTCTCGGAAGACGGGGACCGTGTCTACGAAATCGCCCACACTCCTCCCAGGACTCGAACGCAGATGCGTGGCATTTGATGCTGGAATCCAAAGAACTCTTCTCAAACTTAAGTCAATTCCAAGAGATATTTCAGGGTGAGGTAATGATAATAAATGTCACCATGAGGGAGGTTCACCTTAGAATGCATCCAGACTCCACCCTCTGGGCCCCTCCCCCGCCCCACC